GTCCGTTAAGAGCCAAGGGGCGGGTCTTCCGCCTCAAGCTTGGTGGAGCGGACACTCGGGGAATTAGGGGAGGGAGGGGGAAGAGGAGTGACGTCATGGCTCAGCTCTTAAAGGCGCCGAGGCCTTGTTTTGGTCTCCCTTGTAAGGACAAACGGGGGGGAAGGGGGCTTGACGCGTGTCTCTCGGGTGGTCGCTCTCCGGCAGGGGCTTTGGGAGGAAAAGTCTCGGTCAGAACAACGACGCTTGGTGCTACCGCTGCATGCACGAGTCAGGGTTGTGAGTGGTACTCTCTATGAGAAACTGGTGGCTCAAGGTTCTCCATTCACACGTTACGTGTCAGCGTTGGGAAAGCGGTGCGCGTTAAAGCAGAGGAGTGCAATTCGTCATGCTGCTGAGAACGGAGAACAATCTCTTCCGCAGGTCCTCCCATGAAATAAAGTAGAAGTACCAGAGAGGAAACGATTATTTGCAACAAACTTGAGGGTAGCCTTTCAGAGGGGGGCAAACTTTGGCCCCTTAGAAGTTTTAACTCGAGGTTCCTGTCAGTCCCTGCTGCTGCCATGTCCAGGGACTCTCCACCCCTGCCCAAAAATTTGGAAAGAACCCCATTAGGGCGGATTCAAAGGCTTTGCGGGTGCCCAAATCCTGTTGCTCAGCAGAGGAAATGACACTCGAGTACTGTGCGTGCCTTGAACCGGTGGGGGGTCAACGCCTCCTGCCCTCTTGCGTGCTTTGCTACTCTTAAGCAGCAGGATTTTGGCCAGTAAGTCCTTGCTCGGCCCGAGTAATCTCCCAGAAGAGCGGGCTGAGGAGGAGGACTTAAGGTTATTGGAGGAAAGCGGGGCTACAACACGGATGCCGGATCCCAACCCTGGGGTCCTGGTGGGCAGGATCCCTAAAGATTTCTCTGCCCCAGCCCCTCTGCACCAGGGACCCCGAACGGAAACAGGCCCTGGCTTGCAATATGTGCCCTTGACCCGAAACTGAATCCCGAGAACATCTGGAATTCAGGCCCTCCAGATGTTCCTGGCATTCAGGGATTCCCTCCCCCCCCCTTTGTTGGGCAAGCTCTTCGGGGCAGGGACCCGTCCCGGTTTTCTCTCCGAGAGAGCGGGTGCGCTGGGGGGAGGAAGACTCCGTG